ACACTGCATTCGTTTCGGCCAAGCCGTTATGTAGTTGTTGCTTTAGCGAAAGAGCTACAGCATTGCGCTGGCGTGACCGCCCTCTACGTTGCGCGAAAAGCATCCCAATACTCAATCAAATAAATTAGGCGGGCGTATCTATGGAATGAGCCTAGAAGCGCCATAAAGCGTGAGCAGATGTCACCCTTCGGAACGAGCGCGAAACGGATATTAAACTTGGCAGACCCCACCGGTAAACTGTTGCTGCTCCCCAGTCCACTTGGTTTTTTTTCTTGAAGTTGTGAATTGTAAAAAAAAAATAGCACTAGTGCCATTAACATAGTGGCAATTGTTACAGGTCGCAGCTGCTTGTGTTTAATAAATGTGCAATTTTTAGTAACAGGTGTAGATCTTGTCTATGTTGTGTACACGACAAACATAACTTAAGTTGAATCGTAAGTTTGCATGCCAACTGAGTATTTAACACACAATGAACGTCATGTTGATGTGGCGCAGTTAAATAAAGAAACAAAAAATTGCCCGCAGCTTCCCTCGGGGGAACACTGAGGAGGATGCGGACCATATAATTGGTTAACGGGGTGTTAAAGTGCGACTTACTTTGGTCGATGGCTAAATTGGTTAACGTGGTTGTGAAATGGGGTGTTAAATTGCGACTTACTTGGGTCGATGGCTAAGTTGGTTAACGTGATTGTAGGAGGGGCAGTTAAATGAGTGAACGCGTACACACGTATGCGAAAGGGCGGCGCTGGTCGAAGGGACGTCGATCATTGTGTTTGTGGATTCGTTGGAATTCATTTCACCGCGACCTTGGACGTCGACGCGCCGTACAAACCAACCGACGAGCGGCAACTGAGCGAGCGAGCGCCGACCTTGAGTATATATACAGCACGACGGCGCATGCACTGTCAGCTGTTGAATGTTCTCGAAGCGCGACGCCACATGCGCGTCCACTGGAGAATCAGGAGAATTGTAGATGTCGAACGCGGTGTGTAGAGGAGGAAGGGTGCACAGATGGTGGAGGAGTGAAGCGCGCGCGGTGTGTAGAGGAGGAAGGGATGCACAGATGGTGGAAGAGTGGGCGACGGCGCGACGGCGCATGCGCGCGCGTCAGCTGTCGAATGTTCGAGAAGCGGTGCGGACGGCGCGGACGGCGCGGACGGCGCACTACAAGGCGCGAGTATAAGATGCTGCGCATCTAAAAATGATGTGGCGCGTGGAGAAAGATGAAGACGACGTTCTGAACGGACGCATTTTTCATGTTCTCCGCTTCGAAGGATTTATCGGCCATGGGCCGAGGTGCTGCTCAGGCTTCAGCCAGCGGCAACGACTACCGTGTTGTACTTCCTCACCTTCCCACCGGTAAGCTTGTTGTGGACTCTGTCTTTCTACATGCGGACTTAGCTGGTCGCCCCTACCGGGTTCAAGATTTTAGAGATGCTCTTCGGGACATCATTGACTTGAAGGAAATAAGCTCCATAGGTCAATTTCAAATGTCTCATGTTTGGATGGTCACATGCAAGTCAACGCTGACGAAAACAAAGTTGGTCACAAGAGGCGAATTTTTCGTCAAAAGTCGGCGATGCCTCGTTATAGACCCGGAGCCCACGGAAGTGAAGTTGAAGCTTATGTGGCTTCCTGAGCGCTTGGAGGACGCCTATGTGTGCGAGGCACTGCAAGCTTTTGGGAAGGTCAAGACAATATCACAAGAAAGCTGGAAAGTAGCGGACATGGAGCAAATGCGGACGCTAAATAGGGATGTTGTTTTGTCCCTTGCTGATGGAGTTCGCATTGCGGATATTCCTCACATTCTTGTTGTCTGCGGAGTGCAAAGCCTCGTCCTGATACCTGGCCGCCCACCACTTTGCCTTCGGTGCAGTAAGGTTGGACACATCCGTCGAAACTGCAGGACGCCTCGCTGTGACAACTGTCGACGCTTCGGTCATTCGGCCGAAGATTGTGTTATGACATACGCCAACAAGCTGCGACAGCACACAAAACAGCCAGATGATAACCTACAAGAGCATATTATGGATGCCACCGAGGTTTTGGATGCTACAGGAGACACTCCGTCAATGTCATATGCTGCAAGCTCTACCACAAAGAATCCAGAAGAGGAAAGAAAGTCACTCGCTGTTGACACAGTTGAAACTTCTGCGTGCAAAGAGCCAAGTGAATCATGCAAGCAGCATACCCAAAACGACTCCGCACCACCCCTAGCACAAGTAGGAGTTCCTTTGGAGAGTGCTGTTGCGCTGACCCATAAAGATGCCGAAGAACCACCAGTACAAGATAGAGACGCTGGGCTGGATGCCGCAGAAAGTTCACCTGCGTGCGCTGCAGCTCCGCAGCAGCTTTTTCATCTTGGTGCAGTGTCGGAAGATGATATGCAGATCTCTACGGATACAGCAATACTGAAACGTCGCGCATCGTCCAGCTCGGATTCAAGCAAATGGAGTGACCCAGCGTCAGTGACTAGGGAGTCACGCCGTCGCCGAAAGTCCATGCCAAAGGGGAAGTGTCGCCGATCCCGATCTAGGAGGCCTGCTGGGGGCTCACGGGAAGCCTCAGCGCCAACTCTTGGGACTGATCAAGTGGGACGATAAGCGAATTAGAAGGTAGTCACCATGGCGCAGTCTGAGCGACTCATATTTGCCACCTTGAACGTACGCGGCCTTAGGTCTTCGCAGAAACAAGCACAACTCCGTAGACTTCTCAATCGGAAGCGTCTCGACTTTGTCGCCATCCAAGAGACAAAGATCGAGAGCGAGGAAGAGACCGAGAAGGCCCTGCGGCCTTTTCTGTCTCAGTTTAATGTGTGTGTCTCACATGCTAAAGGTTTATCTGCGGGCTGTTGGTTGTTTCTGAGAAAAAGCCTACCCTGTTCAGCATGGTGCACTAGTGTTGATGAAGAGGGCAGGTATATATGCTGTGATTTTTGTTGCAAGGAGTGCCATGGAGAATTATCAATCTATATGCGTTTATTGATGTTCCGAAACGGCTTGAGTTATTTGAAAAAGTGCGTAATTGACGTCGACAGATGCACGGTACTTATGGGAGATTTCAACTGCGTATGTGAAGCTATTGATCGTTATAATTCGTCTAGAAAGAGAGACAGGAGTGATGAGCTTTTATCCGGTATTGTAGATAATGCAGGACTAATTGACATCGGGGTCTCGAATCGGGCAACAGCATATACAAGAGTACAAGGCAGCTCTCATACTCGCCTTGACCGGATTTACGTGTCCTCATCACTCCTATCTCGTAAAATTTCCTGCAGCACCGAAGCTGTATCATTCTCAGACCATTGTATTGTCATAGCGCAAATTGGCGAAAATCGTCACAAAAAATTCCGTCCCCAGTGGGCCCTTTGGAAAATGAATGCGAAGCTCCTCTGTGATCAGAAATTCATGAATCGCGTCCAGATGGCATTGAGGCAATCTTTTTCGATCGGTTTTCATATCTTCGCTGCTTGGGAGCTTTTTAAACAAGAAGTTCGCTCTATAGCGAACTGGGCTGTTAAGTCTTTTTATAGAAAGAATGATGAAAAGATACTTGTTAAAAGTCTTTGCAATCTTTATGAGATGGAATGCGAAATGCCGGGAAAGTGCATCAAAGATATTGAGAATATTAAGTGCCAACTACAGAGATATGATGCTGCTCGCTACCAAGGGGTACGTATTAGATCTCGGAACCAGCGCACTTTAAATTCTGAGCAACCGACGCGCCAAGCTTTACTTGATGAGCAACGCCATGCGATTTCTAAAGTTATTCCAGACTTGTACTTTAACGATGTGCTCATAAAAGATAACAGAGACATTACTTTGGCGTTCGAAACGTACTATACCAGCTTATTTAGCTCTCCCTCTGATGATCCTGACGCTCACCTCAAGGCTAGTTTTGTTTCTCTTGTGAACCCCTTGAAGGACAGTGATTGTGAAGTCATTAATGGGCCCATTACTCTACAGGAAATCGAGCTAGCAATCGACAACTTGCCTTTATTGAAAACACCGGGGCCTGATGGCATCTCAGGCGAATTTTACAAAGCTTTTAAGAAAACGCTTGCTCCTATATTGCTGAATATTTTTCAGATGAGTTACGACATGGATACACTCCCACAATCTTTTTGCAAAAGTCACACTGTGTTAATACCGAAAACAACTGACAAGAAAAAACTTCGCTTCGTTGAGGGCTACAGACCAATATTGCTGTCAAATGTGGACTACAAAAGTTTCGCAAAAGTATTAGCAAGTAGGTTGCAATTTGCTATGTCGATCCTCATTGGGTCTCATCAGACATGTGGGATCAGAGGTCGATCCATACAAACCAATATACATGTCGCTCGAACAATGCTTCAATACTGTCATGGTTCTCAAGAACATCTTGCAATGCTACAGGTAGACCTTGCAAAAGCTTTTGATCGTGTTCGTCATTCCTTCCCTTTTTCTCTTCTCGAACAAGCTAATGTTGGCAAAGTTGTTCTTAAAGGCGTTAAATTATGCTATAATGAATGCTCAACTCGTCTGAGAGGTAATGGTCAACTCTCCAAGCCAGTTTCTATTCGCTCTTCTGTAAAACAGGGATGCCCGATGTCACCTCTTTTATTTGCACTTTATCTAGAACCACTGTGCTTAAGCATAATACAGTCGAGTTGCATTCATGGCTTTAGAATATTAGGCAGTGAGGTTAAAGTATTGGCTTATGCAGATGATGTCGCATTCTTTTGCACAGATAAACCAAGTGTCGAAAATGTGGTATATCTTATTGAAAAGTTTGGCGTAGCATCAGGAGCTCGTTTAAATGCCTCTAAAAGTTTAGGACTGTGGTTTGGCTTGTGGGGTAGGACACCGAACCACTTTGCAGGGATTAATTGGACAAGAACTCCTCCAACATACCTCGGTGTACCATTGCATGCATATAGATTCAGTGCGCATTACTGGAAGGAACGTGTCCCTAAGCTTGAACGACAGGCCCAGACATTTGTGCCCTATCGACTTTCGATATTTGGGAGAGCTGAAGCTTGTAATACTTTCTTAGCGACAAAACTTTACTATGTATTGCAACTTATTCATTGCGCAAGATTCTATATACAACGCTTTCATCGGATTTTCGCTACTTTTATATGGTCTTCGACTGTTGAGCCCATGCGTCGTGATAATATATTCAAGCCAGTTAGTGAGGGTGGGTTAGGACTAAAACACCTTTATCTATGGCAAATAGTGTCCCGATTCTTCTTTTTTCGAGACAATTCCCATCCTGCAATCCGTTCCTTCTTGCAGGTTACACTTGTTGATTGCTTACCAGATTTAATTGTTTCATCCAACTTCTCCGAACGCCCATGCTTGTGGGGATTCATGCAGGAAGTTTACCTCGCAGTTCAGTTCCTTAAAGCTCGCTTCTCTGTAGAATACTTGTACTCAGTAACGCGCAAGGTGCTTTATAAGGACCTACTGAGTACACTCTTCCCACCTCCATTGTACCGTTCACTGTACGCCAATCTTCCTGGTCACGATGTGTTGAAGCGAGTGCGCAAAATGTACATTCCACCAAATTCAAAAACATTCTTCTCTAAACTCCACTCTGAAACATTGGCGGTAAACACATGGTTAGAAAGAAAAGGTATTTTCATTCCGTCTGTTAACTGCCGTCTATGTGATGTGCCGGAAACGATTGAACATTGCTTTGTTAGCTGCAAAGATGCCATACTATTTTGGGATGTCCTTCAGCGAGCACTGAAAAAACGTTTCGTCATTAATTCTCACACAATACGTTATCTTCTGCCAGCAACACTTGATGAAGTACCATATGATATGTTTTTCCTCATGGGTTTGCACAGCTTGTGGAAGACACGAATGCAAGACCGCAATGCAGAGCCCACCACCTCTTCAAGCGCACACTTCATTCAAATGGCTATCCACCTAAAAAACATCTACGACGAGCTAGACTTTAGACCGGACTGGTACTCCGTCTTAGAGAACTGTTTGACCTCACCCCTTTTTGTTTGTATAACACGATGTGAAGAACTCTTCATGTGAGGAACTCACGCTGTGTTAGCCATTTAGTGTTTATGAGTAACGCTTGAGCGCTTACTTTGGCGATTTGATTGTACTTTTGTTCGCTTGACATTGTCTTTATTGCCCAAGAACTTTAATAAATACCATGAAAAAAAATGATGTGGTGCAGTGGTTAGCGTCTTCGAATGGGAATCAGCAAGTTGCAGGTTCGATCCTCCGTGACGCCTAGTTTTTTTTTTTTACGGGACGGGTGTTTTTTATACCGTTTTTATAGAATTCTTTTTTATTTTTTGTGGCAGCTCGTCACGGTGATTCTGACGTCATTTCGCGCTCAAGTGTTGCCGGCACTTAGGCACCCACCATACCCACCATGCGCCATGGTGGGCGTTTCCCACCATTCACCCACTACATTAATCCACTATAATGGTGGGTGGTGGTTTCCACCATGCCCACCATTAGTTTTTTTTCCGATAGGGAGGCTACAGTAGTGCATAGCAGGCGGAACACTAGCCAGCCACGTACAAACAACACAGCAAAGGCGTCATTTAGTGCGAAAGCGTGAAGAAAGTAATCTAGGGCAACCATTCTTATGAACGGCGAAATGTGCTTTACTCGCGGGTAATGCTGACGTTGCATAGGCGTAGTGCTTATTCAGTAGAGAAGAGCGTAGATATTAGCAGTAAACTGTCGTCAACGCATTTTATCCGCCGACAGTCGGCTCATACCACACGCAACAAAGTTCCGCTGCATGTATTTGCATACGCGCCGCCGACCGCCTATCCACACTTGCGTGGAACGGTGCTGCCACCTATAGCCCGATCTCACCGTGAATAGGGAACCAGCGTTGGAGCTTTCACGGTGCCCCTGCGGCCAAAGCACGCACCTCTCAGCCACTCCAGCAGGCGAGAGTGGCGGCTGGTAGAGGCGGGGTCGCCGAAACAAAACCTAATGATATTCAGAACTGCTGGTACTCAAGTGCGACAATAGTTATAAATCATGGAGGGCGTACCCCTGTATGGTTTTCCTTGTTTACCATATCAATAGGAAAGGAGGTGTCGTTGCATCGAAGCAGTCAGACGAGCAAAGTATGTTTCTGTCTAGAGGTGTCAGGCTGTTTTCCTAAACCGAAATGGGCCTGTATGCTAGATTTATTCGATAATAAAGACAGCCAACAGCGGAAATCAGGAAAAACAGCCGAATTTATACGGTCCTTTGGCCGGAAATAAAACTAGCATATTATGCAGCTTACATGTGATACATGTAAGAAAAATTTCATCTGACCACCACCACCAAACTTCATCTGATGCCCCCCACCCCCCATTAAGTGAATGATGCAAATAAGTAGTCTACATAATTTGCGACCAGTGAAATAGAAATAAAGCTGCCTTGTGCACAAAATTTACGCAGTGGTACGTTCGCCTAAGCCGCTGAACCACTTTAAAAGATACGCTCACAATGAATAATGCATCTCCACCAGATGTCACGAAGTCGTGACGGAGAATGCAGCAGCACACTGGATAGTCTGATGAAACTGTTTAGTGGGCCGAAATTGTGGCCACGTCAAAGAAAAGTCGGATTACAGCAAGGCACTGGCCCTCATAGCGGTGAACAGACCGTCGGGCATTGATCAACTGACAATCAGTGAAGCACGTCGACATTTATACAAGTGCCGTGGAATAATCTACCATTATCGTTAGTGGCCAAGTAGGTTCAATAATAATCTGTAATGTTCGCGAAAAGGGCGTAATCTTAACCAAACAATCTGCTACAGTCCTGAAGCTTCTCGAACACTGCAGCCATGGTTTGTTAGAATTACTAACAGAGTAACGGATGTAACAGTGTAGCAACACTTGAGAAATGAATGCCGCGATACTATCAATCAGGTAATAGAGAATTGCACGGAATGCAACCAACCTCTTTACATAGCTTTCATATATTACGAAAAGGCGTTTGACTCAGTCGAGGACATCAGCAGTAATGCAGGTACTACGGAATCAGGGCATCGACGAACCATATGTAAATATACTGGAAGAAATCTACAGTGCATCCAACGCTATACCATACGTCTTCAGCAGCCACTGGATAAAAAAACACAGCATATCCACGCAGTGAAAGATTATGAGTGGGGCGAAGCATTCGTCGTTCTATCCATACGTGTGTCCCTCCGTCCGTGCATGCGTCCATGCATCCGATCACGTTCGAGAATGCTGACGGCGCGTGGGTAACACCGACGAGACGCGATCCAAGGAAGCCAAGCGCAAGCATATTCAATGCACCCGCCATTCTGCTCCGTCCATGACCTACCAAAGATCCGCCGCGTATGGCGACTATGCAATAGACTGACAGCGGGCACTCATTCGCACACTATGCAGATAGCGCACGGGTACCAAAGAGGGCATATGAGCAAAAGAAGCCAAATGCAAGCGTCGTAGACGCGCCCGCCACTCTACTCTGCCAATGCTTTACCAACGATCCGCCACGTACGGCGACTATACAGAAGGCTGAGAGGGGCATTCATTGGCAAAGCGCGTGCAGCAGCCAATCGGAGAGTAGTGCGCGCCGCAGCAATCCTGAGAGTTTAATCGCATAATTTAAGTGTAGGGGCATGTAGTGTATTAATAACGCCGGTTGCGGGTCAAAGACCAAATTAAAAAGCAAGAGTTTACGACAGAAACGAAAAATATTTCTCTAGCAAAGGCATCACACACACTTTCACACACGGCAGCTATCAGTTAACCCTCACAAAATCACTTAGAAGGTATTTAAAACAACGGGAACAAAGTTACCGTGCTATAAATGCAATCTCTTGCACGCATCATAAACTGGGCAAGAGCACTTGGCGGCCCCAATTATTCACGACACACATGTACTCGACAATTTTTTCGAACGTGTCTTAAAAATTTCTTTTCAATCAAACACTGAAACGAACTCCCGCACTGTTCGTCGTGCCGGGGACACTTCAACAAAGTACACTAGCGGCGTCATAACTCGATTCTTCAACATCGACTAACTGCACGACACGACTCGCTCACACCGCTCAAACAACACAACTACTTGGCTGATGTTTATTACCCGTCCTACCCTCTGACACCTCTAATTTCGATCCTTCCCATGTTTCGCGATCATTCAAAGTAATTGTACAGCGCATAGCACGTACCAGGGCGACAGCCAGGCCAAAGGGGTTTGTTTCGCCGGTTCGTCTGTGAAAACGGTCGCCCCCCAAAATGGCCCCACCCCACCGCGGTGGTCTAGTAGCTAAGGTACTCGTGCGCTGACCCGCAGGTCTCGGGATCGAATCCCGGCGGCCGCGGCTGCATTTTCGATGGAGGCGAAAATGATGTATGCCCATGTGCTCCTATTTGGGTGCACGTGCAAAAAACCACAGGTGGTATAAATTTCCGGAGCCCTCCATTACGGCAGTCTCTCATAATCATATGGTGCTTTCAGAACGTTCAACCCAAGATATTGCCACGACATAGTGCCTGCATTCAAACAACGTGCCCATCACCGCGCGCACAGGGACATACATGCGCGCCATCTAGTGTTGCGCAGAGACGATGATGATAGCACGAGAACCCAGCTGGCCCCTGCTGATTTGCGCCACACGCTTGGGACTCTTCTTGAAGAAGTAGAAGAAGGAGACACCTTTGGTGTTAAGAAGTAGAAGAAGGAGACACCTTTGGAGACACATTTGGTGGATTAAAGGATACAAACAAACAAACAAACAAACAAATGGTGTTCTGCTGTAACGTGCTACGACCATAGTCCCTTTGAGTTGTGGGCACAGGTTCGCCGTTTAATAAATACGTTTTATTACACCCCGAGTCCTTCAACACCGTTACATTTCTGGTGGACGTGCTGGGTAATGAATCAAAGCCCTACGAACGCAAGACAGCGTAGCCCCGACCACCAGCGAGTTGATCCTGGGGAGCTGACACCTGTGCATCAGAGGACCAGTCGCCGTCTTCGAGGTGATTCACCAGAATTCAGTCCACTCCACTTCACGCCAATGGAAACTCAGTCAATGGACGCCACCACCACGATAAGTCATGTAACATCAGCCCAAGTGGTGATAAATCAGCCTCACCAGCCACCAGTATTTCATGGCGACTCGTATGAAGACGTAGAAGAATGGCTGAACCTCTTTGAGAGAGTGGCACGTTTGAACAGTTGGGACGAGAGAGAGAAGCTCCGTCGCGCATACTTTGCTTTTGAGGACTTCGCAAAGACGTGGTATGAGGACCATGAAACCTCCTTTACGACCTGGGATGAATTTCAGCGACAAGCTCTGGCGACTTATGCCAGCGCGGATTGCAAAGAAAAGGCTCAGGCTGCGCTCGAATCCAGGAACCAACTCACCAACGAAAGTGTCGCAATGTATATCGAGGACATTATCCGCCTGTTCAAGCGCGCAGACTCCCATATGACTGAAGACAAGAAGATACGCCGCCTCATGCGTGGGGTGAAGCAAGAGCTATTCGCTATTCTCGTCCGCAACCCACCACGAACAGTTGCGGAGTTTCATACGGAAGCGACAGCCATCGAGAAAATGCTAGAACAGCGGGCTCGACAGTACAATCGAGACACAAACTACGCACCTGCCAATGTCTTCTCTGGACGCCAGCGAAGTGACATGGACGCCCTGCGAGAACTCATCAGGTCGGTGATCAGGGAAGAGCCCAGCAAGTTGCAAGCACCTCACATTACAGCAACACTGTCTGTCGTCGACGTAGTACGAGATGAACTGAGGCAGATGATACGTGAGCCGGAGCGTGCGCCACAGCCGATGCAACGCATCCCAACGTACTCTGAAATACTCAGACAACCCGCGGCGCACACCAATGCAGCAGTTGCGATGGCCTCTCCTTGCCCACAGACGGTACGCAGCGCACCTCGTCCACTGGAACCGACGGCTACCTACCTGCCACGAGCCCGTGGTGTAGTTCGCTACGTGGATCAAGGGCCCCGGTAAAGTGACA